ATCTATATGATTAGAAAATGTATGAAATAAGTTAAAATACAGAATATGTTGAAGATCTCTAACGTTGAAAAGAACGAAAAAAGTTAAAAATTACATCTAACATTGAATAATATAATACACGAAAATGCGTGTTTTAGTAATTACACTCATAAAATATAACGAATAAGTTAAAAGTATTGCCTAACAAGTCTGAAAAACTCTGGGTAAAAAATTTAAGGAATAAGAATGAGTAAATGCAATGAAGATTACGGAAAGTATATGTGATATTATGAACAGAAGATTTAAGAATAAGGTAAAATTCTGAGTGTATGGATCATTCAATCATTAAATTCGAAAATAATCCTCGTTCAGGGTAACTAGGAGTAATCATCATATACGTAGTAAACAGTTGGAATACGAAGAAAAAACACAAAGGCTAAAAATTTGTTAACGAAGGGAAATCACCTCCGATAAATCAGTAAAATATAATCTCTTATTAAATTGTGATGACATGTAGCAGTTTTGCAGATATTCAGTCATAGAATAAATACAAGTAAGAAAATAATATCTTCGGAAGAGGTTATACTGTGAAGGAAACTTTCATTTTATATCTGTTTAAGAAATGAACTATATTAGTCACTTAAAACACCTACTGATATACGTTTTTAAGAACTCAATATAAATAAGTACACATTATCATAATGCTCAAGCAAACACAATTATAAAACCTAAGCAAGTCGTTTCTGGACGAGCAACCTTATCTCCTCCACTCCTAAAGGCCCTGTCCATTTAGATAAGCCTCCCTCACTCAGCTCCTTTCGGAGCTCCTCAATCCCGCCCTAAAGCTCCGAGCCGACTCCATTTTCCTTATTACCTAGAACGATTTGGAGTACCGAAATACGCAGCTAACGATTTTGCGCACTGAAGGAACTCTGCCACGTCACCACGTGTTTGATTTTATCTGTACGGAGTAAGATTTTGAATATCAGAAAACATGTCAACTACGGAAGTGTCTGAGGAGCAGACCATTCATGGACACAAGGAGCGCATATCACCATTTCGCAAATACAACCAGATACTACTGTCCTCGTACCAAAACCGAAGTGAGCTGAACCCTCATCGATCCTCCAGTAACGAATACCGAAATACCGAGAAGAGACGCATATTTTCGTTACAAAGTAACGAATACCGAAAAGCACCCGTTTCGGTACAGAAGTAACGAATACCGAAAAGTACCCGTTTCGGTACAGAAGTAACGAATACCGAAAAGTATCCGTTTCGGTACAGAAGTAACGAATACCGAAAAGTACCCGTTTCGGTACAGAAGTAACGAATACCGAAAAGTACCCGTTTCGGTACAGAAGTAACGAATACCGAAAAGTACCGATTTCGGTACTGAAGTAACGGGTACTTGGATGTACCGATTTTCAGTACCCGTTACAAAATACCCGGTTCGGTAGTACCGGCTCATCACTAGTGTCTGGTCTGCACGGATATAGCTGAAATATCGCGCAGATGCGCAAATTGTCCGGCTCTTGATAAAACAGCCCAGTGGGCACATGATTTTGAAGTTTCTTGACAATTAGGTAAGGTCAAAGGTGGTTACAGGGGGTGACCGTGAGTCGCAAAGCCTTTGAGAGGCATAGCAGTGAGTGCGCACGATACAGGAGCCGTGAGGATACTGTGTGGTATGTTTGTGTTGTTGCATCAAATAAGACAAAGAATCTATCAGACAAATTATTTCATGACATATAAAATACAAGATAAGATACATGTAAATGCAATAATGATAACTTTTATACACAATTTTGATACATACGATGTTGAAATATGATAATAATAAAATACAAAATATTGAGTTAATACAAGAAAAATTTCAAAATATATACATAATAAACAGGATCTCTACACAGTCTGCATATGCAAATTACGTGGGGAAATTTAAGTCCCGGGCGAAGCCATTTAGTGTCGGTACATCCTTTTGCCTATATTCACCTTAAACGATATAAATAAGAAATGGATGTCTGGTTGTAATTCCAAGAGTTTCCCATAAACATATAATAATATCTCTTTGTATTAATTTACCTTAAAACAGGAAAATTCACTTGCATTTTCTTAAATTTTCTAAACATCGTAGCGATCTTCATTAATAATTTGAATATAAATAAACACTGAAGGAGTTTAAATGCATGTATGATGGGCATTTTGCACTTCTAATTCTTTATACGGAGGCAGACTATCTACTTCATTCATAGCTAGAATTTATTTACATTTGTAACAGCACTATAATGAAAAAAGTATTAATTTTAGAATGTATAAAAATGCTTTTTAAACATTTTGATTGAAAGTTGGCTAAGTAGCATTCGCTTAAATGCGGGAGATATTTTATACAGGCCCTTTTTGTACAATTTGTTTTAGATTTAAATTTTAGTTAGGCGGCAGAAATCAAAGATTGTTTTGTGAATGTTATTGATTAAATAAGTGACTATGTATGCGCATGGATATTACGATAATTTCTGAATGCTTTTAGCTGTATTAACCCAATTTGATATGAATGCTCGTCAACTCTAACATTGGAAAAGCCTAAGCACCATGATATGATTTTTGGCATTGATTTCCAAACAGGTATTTTGGCATTAAATTTCAGCAGTGAACAGGAAGAAAACAGAAGACATTAGTGAAAGCGAAAGGGAAAGAATTAACAAAAACGTTTTGCTTCTCCTTACCAGTTTAGGTAAAGCCATGCTTCCGACTACATCCCGTAGTAGTAACACCATCGAGGAATGTTGCAACCATGATTTGGGAAGATGGGTAAGGTGTTTGTCATCAATGGCCACACATCTAAAGATGGAAATATTAAAATGTTGTTGGACACCTGATGAAAATTATGATTGTTGACTTTTCCGTTAAATCCTATGTGATATATCTGACTTCGAATCTAAAATTTTGTGAAGAACACAAAAACCTTGTCTAAAACTTAAAGGTTATTAACTGGAACTTCACCTGATGAAAACTTAACATCATAAACGAAAACTTTAGCATCTTGGGGGAATAATCAAAGTGCTTTAAAGTAACAGCTATGCCGGCACGTGAGAACACTTTCCTTAAAAGACAGAATCCATCTAGCCCTTTCGGCATATATCTCCATTCGCTGGATTCAGACTTCCGCTCCTACGGGTTTTGGACTTAAACGGCCAGACTGGAACTGGAATAGGACTCGATCAGGACCGGAACAGGACTGGATCCGCAACAAGACGGGAACCGGAATCTCTCATCCCCTGGCTTCTCCCCCGGGCAGGTCTATTCTGGCTCGAACTAAAATGAACTGCGGTGCCACTAAGGAAAGCACCTCCTTCCTTTTATTGACGGCGGTTGCCGTTACTACAGGCGATTATGCAAATATTTAACAATGATTTTGCAGCAGATGCTATCCATTCGAGAAGAAAGTTTAGGCATGAGTGGCTAAAGACTCATGCTCCTTGGTTCCCATATTCAAAAAGTGTACAAGGAGCATTATGCTTCAGCTATGTTCTTTTCCCTCCTCCTTCTGCATCAGTGAAAGGTGTTTTAGGCTGCTATCACACGTCAGTTTGTTTTGAAAGAACAACTGTTTGGAACAATTTTTCTGCTTTGTCACAACAGCCAATCACCACAGCTCGCTTTGGGGTTAACACAGGGGAAACTGATTCTCCATTATAAAAAAGCTAACAGCATTCGGCGCTGATAGCTGATTAGTTGAAAACGAACAACTTCTAACTTTTTTCGAAAGGAAGGAAAAAGTCGCACGTCTTTCAATAGTAAACTAGGCAGAAAAATTGTCCGAAACAGTTGTTCGTGTGAAACAAACGCCATGTGATATGGGCCTTAGACTCATTCATTATTAAGTCATTCACACGTTATCATGTCATGCATAAAGCTTGCATAAAACTTCAGATCAGTGGCACAAAGCATCAGTAATCGCTGCTAAGAATTTTCTAGAAAATGAACCTGTAAATGTTAGACTAGTTTCTGGGCACAAAAAAGTAATGGAAGAAAATCAAAACATAATAGCGTCAATAATTTCCACAATCATATTCTGCAAAACCCATGACCTCTCTAAAGCCCCGTTCACATGCAACGCTCCTTCGCACAGCTGCTGTTAGCAAGAGGAGAAAAAGGAGACATGAAAGAGTTTCGTCTTTAGGACCCGTTCAGAAGACCACCGTCTTCCTTTCCCTTTACACCTAAGCCTCTGTGAACAATCCCGTCTCCGATAGGCAGATTTCTAATAATGTTTAACATTTTTTAACGTTGTTTACTGTGTTAATTTGTAATCTGTACTTTCGCAACTCGTACTGAAACTTTCGTATGGTTCTGAAAAATAATGCTTTTTATTTTATTATATTTATTTTATAAGAGTTATTTATTTCACTCTTGGGCTTGTCGCTATGGTTAAAAGATAGTTGGACTTTAAAAGGCTTCCCGATAAGATATAGACTCAAACTTGGTACATACACGCTTGTGGATGTGGTGTCACGCTTTTTGTTTTTAGAGGATTAGATTTTTTTTTTCAAATTTAAAGTTGAACGATTTTTTGCAAAATTAACAAATAAAGTGAGAATTCTCATAATATTATAGTTGCAACCACTGTGAAGGAAAAAAAATAAATGAAATTTTTAGCGTAATTTTCTAAAAAAATTTGTGTGAGAATTTTTGAAAACCGTTCATATTTTTAGACTTTTTGACGCCCATTAATTTTAAAATTTCATATCTAAAAATATATCGGTTACAAACTTTCGACATTTTCCTAGCTTGTAAAATAAACATTTCGCATTTAAAAAAAAATGATAAAGGAAATTAATTGGATGATTTTTTTTTTACTTTTTTGAAAGATATGCAGTGAAGCAGAATGGGAAATATTGGTTCTTCTTGGGCATCATTCGAAATTATTATAATATTTCGAAGTAATAATTTCGGTTTCAAAGTAATAATCTCATTATACCACACTATTTTTATGACATTATTTATGCTATATAAGTTGTTATTGTTTGCGGTTGTTAGTTCAGCGGGAGATTGGAACCTTTTGAGATGAGAAACCTTTTGCGTTGTTTTCAATAAATCCTTTTACTTAAAGTCCTAAAACATATACAGGTATGGACTAATTTTTTTATTATTTTTATTGCTTATTTAAAATTATATACTTATAGAAACAAGGATGGGTTTTGCAAATACTGAAAGAAAAACTTATTTGAAATGAAAAATGTTACATATCTGTTTAAAGATTTTAGATAAAAGTGTATTTTTTCTCAGAAACTAATTCATTAATTGCAAAAATCATTCCTTGAAGTTATAAAAAACACTCCAATAAATACAATAAAAAAACTGGGAGAAGACATTGAAAATTGTAAGAGAAGAAAAACATTTTAATTGTAAAATTTTTCTTCAAAAATTTAAATTAAAAAAATTACTAGCAAAAATTTTTTTCAGCTTAAAATTATTTTGTCTCACAAAACTATTTAATAATATTCATAAAAAGTAGATGAAAATGCTTAAATTAAAAAAAAAAAATTCAAAAGGTACCGAGTCCCTTGTCGCGTTGAAGCCGATATGCACTTGTCTTAACTTTAGTTTTAATTTGAACGATATTTCTGGAATACCTAGCATCAGATAACCTTGTCTGTATTTGTCTATAATTTCGTATCTTGTACAGTTCTATCTAATTTTGAGGGTGATGCTATCACATCCCCAGACATCTATCAGCGCGATTATTTCGCTGACAGTCCAGCGAGCAGTAACTAAAATTAAGTGAACCGCGCAGTATAGTACGGGAATTCTTCCCATTTGCCCTGCTCCCGAGAGGTAAGGAACATTCAACCAAGTTCTACCTCCAATTCGGCGAGGCAGTAATATTGTACAGTCCAAAAATTTAAATATGCTACAATGTGTAGACCCCATAAAGAGAATTTTAATGCTTTTAAGAGAAGGTCATAGAAAAATAGATGTTTTATGCCAGGAAATTGTCTTTCGCAAGTGCTATGGCTAAGAGCATTGCAAGCACCGAGAATTGTAAAACTGCAAAGCCATCGCTCAAATCCTCACATCTAAAACCGATGAATTCTGGAAAAGGTCTCTTAGTATCCCATATCTGGATTCCTTAATACTATTACTGGAAGATTTCCCAGCAATAATTTACCAGCATTTTCTTTGTTGATATTACATTCTGTGGTTATGCTAAAGATGGCAGTGGAAGAATTTACTAAAAAAAAAGAAAAAGAAAAAAAAAAAAAAAAAAGAAGTGCTTTCGCGATTTTTATTAATTTGAAAAATTTTTACAGTGTTCTAGATCTACAAATGGTATCATAATTCAGCTGCTAATCTTTTTTTAGAAGCATTTCTGGCCCACCAGCGGCCGAGCGGTAAAGTCGCTGAACACTGGTAGTTCGGTCCGAGGTTCGAATCCCGCGAACGGGCTGGCTGCATGGGCGTTTTCGTGGTTTTCCCCATGTGTAACGTGTATACGAGCCAGTTTCCCTTAGAAAGTCCTCCACGAAGGCATCCCTCCTCTTAGGCAGACAGCCCTCGAGGCTTTGCCATAATCACACACACACACAGAAGCATTTCTGAGTTTATTTCTTATGAGAACACTTCTTAGAGACAAACAGGCTCTGAACATTTTTCATAACAAAAATTCTGGTTTGTAAGACTATGACATCTTCCTTGCTATGCATTTGCTAATTCATATATTCTTGGTAAAATTTTTCAAATATAATATAAATATCCTTATATTGGCCACGAAAATGTTTAAAATAATCTTGTAAACTAATATTTGAAAACAATGAAATTATTTATCAGAATAAATTCACAATTTTCAAAAGACTTAGAAAAAAGCTACAGGCTTCTAGTTTGGAGGTTGGTTGGTTGGTTTTTTAAATGGCACAAAACCTCGAGGGTTATAATGTAAATTTGCACAAGATCAAGTGAGATACCTAGGCCATGTTGTGGGACAAGAACAACGAACCCCGGATGAAGTAAAGATCCTGGCTGTAAAGGAGTATCCTACACCTAAAACCAAAACAGAAGTACGTGCTTTCTTAGGACTGGTAGGGTATTATCGCCAGTACCAGACAAATGGTGAGTAAAATTCAAGATGCATAAACAAGTATCAAGTGAATTGATGAAATGAACGTGAAAGACTGGTGAAGGCATGGAGAAATGACTTTAAAATGTCCAGGCAGAAATGACTGAAAAGTGCTCTAGCAACAGGTAGAGCAGGATAAAATGTAGTTCAAATCATATGGTAAAAGGAGATGTCTTTTAAAAAACTTATGAGGTTCATGTGAGGGTTTCTTCCAATGAGATCTGTTAAGTTAACATTCGTAGAGTTAAAATAAATTCACGTTTTCTGACTAAAAAGCAGGACAGCAGGTTAAAATATGATTGACTGAAACGGGAACGTTGCAAGTGCCACAAATAGGCTCATTGTCTCCTTTCAACAGGTACTGATGTGTCAGTCTGCAATGACTAATTCGTAAGAGTCAGTAGTACATCCTCCTTCCGGTTCCCTCTCGACTCCCAGTACTCCAAATTGGGTTTTACCTGCCTTCATTTGTTCAGAGTATGGCATTCTCAGAATTCTTGCCACCTGAACAAGACCTTTGTTCTAATGTAATTCCGTATGCCTGTAAAAGGGGCATCGTTTACTGAGGTTATATCAGCAGATTTTGCTGCAATATCGGCGAGTTCATTGCCTTTGATGCCGGCGTGTCCAGCAGTACGCGATATAATAACCTGCGTTTCTCAAACGGAGGTGTGCCTTTAAAATTTCTAAGACCAAAGGGTGTGTGGTATTTGTATTTATTGATTCAAGAGCACTCATAGAGTCAGAGTAGATGATGAACTTTCTGCTATTCTGCCTAGAGATAAAGATTAAGGCATTCAAAATGGCAAAAGTTTCCGCAGTAAAGACAGATGCAGCCTTTTGTAGTTTACTACTCTTTATTTCTTTATCACAAACAAAAGCTGCCCTGGTCATGATTCTTTGAGCCACCAGTAAAAATTGCTTTGTAGTTAGAATAACTGTTTCTATGCTCTAGGAAAATTTGTTGGTAATGGATATCATTGATACTGCTTTTCTTTAGTTCTCCAAAAATGTTAAGTAGGTGAATGTTCACTTCTTGCCAGGGAGCAATACCGAAAAGGTCAAAGCTTTTGGGATGCAGATCATTTAGGTTAATTTCTTCAATGAGTGAATGCGAAGATCAAAAGGAGGGATACATGAAGGACGGGCATAGTAAAGACGCCAGTACTCATTAGATGTCATGAGTCGGACAGGATGTTCGGCCTGTGACATTACTTTATAATGAAGATCAATGGACAACTGCTTGCGTCTGAATTCCAAAGAAAGTTCAAAACAGATGACATATAAACTTTGGACTGGAGATGTTCTGAAGGCTCCACAGCATATCCGTAGCGCTTGATGGTGGACTGGATCAGGAGCACAGAAGGTCTTGCTGATCCGTAGATAACACAGCCACAGTCAAGTTTGGAACGGATTAAAGCTCTATAAATGCGGAGCATAGAACAACGTTCTGCTCCCCATGAGGTTGTTGAGGACTTTCAGTATGTTGAGAGTTTTAGCACATTTTTTCTTTAGATTTAGGATATGCGGAAGGAAAATGAGCTTTCTGTCAAAGATAATTCCTAAGAATTTTGCTTCTGGCTCAATGCGGATCAAAGAGCCGTTAAGATGCAGCTCTAGATCAGGATGCAGATTTCTTTTGCGACAGAAGTGCACGCAGACTGTCTTCTGGCTAGAAAATTTAAAACCATTGTTGTTGGACAACTTTATGATTCTATTTAGAGCAATTTGTAGTTGTCTCTCAATGTATCTCATTCTTGACCTTGACAATAGATCATCAGATCATCAATATACAGGGAACCGTGCACTGTGGGAGGAAGTTCTCTTAAAATGGAATTAATTTTCGGGCCGAAAAGAGCGACACAGAACACTGAACCTTGCGGTACACCTTCTTGTTGTACAAATACTTGAGAAAGCAACGAACTAATCTTGACTTGGAAAGTGCGGTCCTTCAAAAAGTTTTGAATAAAGATGGGTAGATTTCCTCGCAATCCAGTGCTGTAAAGGTTATGAAGAGTTACATGGCGCCAAGTTCTATCATACACCTTTTCCATGTCAAAGAAGGCCCACCAGCGGCCGAGCGGTAAAGTCGCTGAACACTGGTAGTTCGGTCCGAGGTTCGAATCCCGCGAACGGGCTGGCTGCATGGGCGTTTTCGTGGTTTTCCCCATGTGTAACGTGTATACGAGCCAGTTTTCCTTAGAAAGTCCTCCACGAAAGGCATCCCTCCCCCTAGGCAGATAGCCCTAGTGTGCTTTGCCATAATTAAATACACCACACCACACCATGTCAAAGAAGATTGAAACCACATGATTTCTTTTCACAAATGCATTGGGTACTGCGGTTTCTAAAAACAGAGCATTATCAAGTGAAGATCTTCTCTTACGGAAACCACTTTGGTAAGGCGATAGGCAATGATTAGTCTCCAGATAGTAGGTGAGACTGTGATTTACCATTTTTTCCATAATCTTGCAAAGCCAGCTAGTGAGCGCAATGGGGCGATAATTTAAAGGATTTTTCGGGTCCATGCCGGTTTTACTATAGGGATAACAAAGGCCCTGCACCAGGCAGTAGGAAAAATTTGTTCCTTCCATATCTTATTATACAGAGCAAGAAGGACCACTAAAGATTCATAGGACAGGTGCTTTATAATCAGATAACTTATGCCATCAGGACCAGGGCAAGACCTATCAGTGCGAGATATTGCATTTCTTAATTCAAACATGGTGAGATCTTTATTATAAGATTCTGCGTTAGGATTTGAATCCTTTCCAAGCGCATCTTTGCGAGCAGAAACTCTTTTGAGTAATTGCTAGCGCCAGATACAGCAGCAAATGTATTACCTAAAGCATCGGCTATTTCCTCTCTAGAGCTAATCAACTTTCCATCTTTTTCTAGAACAGAAAAGGAATAATCATTATAGAGTTCAGAGGCTTTGCGGACTCTTTCCCAAACCTGTTTGCTAGACATTGAGAAGGTAATAGTAGACACGTAGGCTGCCTATGATTTTCTCTGGCTTTTCCGCCTCTTTTCTTGCATTCGCCTTAGCTTTTTTAAAGGCAAGAAGATTTTTCAGTGTTGGGTATCGACGAAAGATACGCCAAGCTTTCTTTTGCTTTCTCGAAGTTTTATGACAATCATTGTTCCACCAGGGTTTAGGGAACTCTGGGAACTTTGTCGAGGACTTCGGAATAGAGAGTTCAGCAGCTTGTAATAGTATCAGATCATTTTTACTGCAGTAGTATTATGTCCACATCGTTGACCATTTCTTCAGTCAGCACAGCACAAGATTCAAAAAGATCCCCATCAGCTTTATCGTAAAGTAAGCGTGGTTGTCTTGAGATCTTTGAATTCCCTGTAATATTTACAATGACTGGAAAGTGGTCACTATCGTAGAGATTCTTCCCTGCACTGAAAGAGCAAAAAGGTAGTAGAGATGGAGAACCAAAAACCAGATCAATTGCATGAAAGGTTCTAGTCGATTGATGAAAGTAAGTGTATTCTCCATTATTAAGGAGACAAATAGAGTGATCTTTCAGTAATTGTTCGATCTGCCGGCCCCTTGAATTAGTGTTCTTACTTTCCCATAATGTACTATGGGCATTGCAGTCACCTAAAAGCAATAAAGGTTCTGGAAGCTGCTCTATTATTCTGTCCAACTCTCGCTGATCAATATGCTCATGTGGGGGGGGGGTAAATAAATGGTGCATATAGAGATTGAAAAGCGTAAATTAACCTGAATAGCCACAGCTTGAAGAAAGGTCGTCAATGTATGGGTGATTGTGGGAGGTGATAGGTAAGGCCCACACCACCACAGGCACGATCCCCAGACGGGTTGTCCTTTCTTACTGTTGTATATCTCCGTATCTTAGCATGTCTGCTTGGTTTTAACAAGGTCTCCTGAAGCGCAAGGCAGGCAGGTTTATAGATGTTTATTAAATTCTTGATGTTATCCAGGTTTTGACGAAAACCCTGGCAATTCCACGAAATAAATGTACCCATTATTGATGCTTGTTTTGGCGGTGTTGGTGTTTTGACTTTCGAGGCAAAAGGTGCTTCGGAAGGGATAACCCTTCTTCAACGTCCATTTCGTCTGAGTCGTCTTGAACTCATGCTTGCGATGGAACTTTGACTGAGGGTCCTGGGTTTTTGTTTATTTTTCTCTTTGATCCCATCTCTATGCTTGTTCTGTTGGACATCCTGTTTTCCTCTGGGCGCTGTCACTGGCGTACTACTTTCAACATCAGGTTTTCCCCTGATTTTTGGTTTCTAGTATCTACTTCTTTCTTCTGTGCAGTTATTGTGGTTTGCGTTGATACTGATCTGAATGATTTTGTAGCGGATGCATAAGATTTATTAGGTCTTGGCTGATTACAGAGAACAAGTCTTTTGGCTTCTACAAATGATATCTTTTGTGTAACTTTAATGTTTTGAATTTGTTTTTCTGTCTGCCATTTCGGACATGATCTTGAAAAAGGCTGGATCCGCTTACAGTTAGACCAGAGCACACACAGGCACAGATGACCAACGCATTGGACGGGTAGGTATCCAGCTTTCAGGTTAGGAGACGGTTTATGATCTCTTTCCGTATTTGATCTTGAGCACTGTCAGAGCTGTGGGTTTAACAAGGTCTCCTGATTTTCAGCGCAAGGCAGGCAGGTTATAGATGTTATTAAATTCTTGATGTTATCCAGGTTTTGAACGAAAACCCTGGCAATTCCACGAACGAAAATAAAGGTACCCATTATTTGATGAGTTTGGCGGGGGGCGGCTTTTGTTTTGGGGTCGAGGCAAGGGCTGGGCAAGGGATAAAAAGCAAACGTCCATCGTCTGAGCGTGTTTGAACTCATGGCGAAGGAAAGGGAGCCTGGGACGTAATCCTTTGATCCCATCTTATGCTGCTGTGGGGTGGGTCGGGTGGGCGCTGTATGGCTACTATTTAAACGGCCCGATTTTTGGGGAGTATCTACGCTTTCCGTCAGTTAGGGGAGCGTTGATAATGGCTGACTGATTTTGTAGCGGATGAAAGAAGGGGCGACTGGCTTGATTACAGGAACAAGTTTTTTGGCGAGACAATGCGATATCGGTTGACTTAAGTGAAGGCTGGAGGGAGGGAGGAAAAAGCTGGATGCTCGGCATAGGGCACGGGCGCCCTATGTCGGGCCTATGATGGGGAGAGCATGGGAACGGGCAAGAGGGGGCATGACAAAGCGCTGACCACGGAAGAACGGGGCATAGGATGGCCTGGGAGAGGTTAGGTTCCGGATGTTGTTTTAGGAAGGTAGGGTGAAAGTAAGTATGACAGTTCGTGTGAATGAGTGAAAAGTAGTTGATCCTCGAGCCCACAACGTTTTGATTGCCATCTTTACAACATCGAGTTACTGACAGTAAGTTTGGCGATTACTACTCGGACGGGGAGAGTGTTGTGGTACGTTAATGCTGATTGGGGAAGAGGTAGGTTCAAAAGAGAGAGGTGCTTACGGCACAGTTTCTGGGTCTGGTCGGGTCTATTAAAGTTTTCAGTTGGGACAGAAGACCGAGTTGTTTAGAGAAGGGGTGAGGTGGTTTTTGAATTTTCGAGCTGTTTTATAGAAAACGTGGACAAAAGTGGTCTGATGAGTTGCTTTCTATGTCACTTCTTGCTTGTACAGGGGAGTATCGGGCGACATTGTTGGAGCAGGAAGGTTATGTAGTCATATTGATTAGAGAGTTGGGTCCACAGCCCCACACACCATGGAGCCCAACAAGGGGACACAGATTCCTACGGTGGCTAGGGGTTACGCCATTGAAGTCTCAAACAGTCGGCCTTCTCAAAGCAGGTTTGGGGGTTGGGGGGGCAAGGATAGGACCAGCCGATTGACACCCGGAGATGCACAGGTGCTCCGTTAACTGAAGCGAGGCCAAAGCAGTTGTTGGGGCATACCGAGCCCCTCAACTACAGGACCTCTTTCGTGATCGGTCTCCACGAACGGCAAAAACGTGGGCGGTTTTAGGCCACTCGAAGAACAGCGAAGGGCTGATTCCATCTATGACGAGCCGAACATCGGAAGAGGAAACCACATGGAGAAGGAGGAAAGCGGGAAAAGTACAGTGAAGAGGAGAGAGGCAGAGGAGGAGAGATCATGGGACTCCAGGATTGTGAATTGATCCGAGACGGTAATCTGAAGGATATTCACGGAGATGCTTTGGCTGGGCATGTTGGAACGGCCTTCAGGCCTAGGGTGGCCCTACCAGGAGCTATGCTCCCGACGTACTTCGCCCGTTCCGCCCAGTGACATCCCCCGCCGCGTTGAGGCAGCATAGCAGGACTTGGGGGGGGTCTAGTTTGGAGGAGGAAGGCTGATTAGTGTTATCGTAAAGAAAGAAGGTTGTTTAGGTGAACAGAGCAAAACTGTGCTTTCATAAAATCATTTCTCATATTCATAGCTTTCAAAACGTCATTGGAAAAAGTGTAAAGTGACTGGAGTAAAGTAAGAATGATGGAGTTTCAGAATTGTATCTAACCTACATATTCTGGCTGCAGTAACTTAAAAAGGGGTGGTTGGAAAGAAGAGGGAAACTCAAGTGAAAATAAAGATTAAAAAAAAATATGAAGACAAGGAGATAGGAAGTTTATACAATACCTTTCCCTCAGAAATCAAAGTAAGATTCTATGTAATTTTTCTCTGTATTTTAAATAATACCTTTCATCTATTTCTTTTGGAATCTTTGAAGAGTTCAATTTTTTAAAATACAAAAGACATTTTGGGAATTTGTTGCAGACAGATAACCTTTTTATTTATACAAATAATATCTTGCATTGTTTCTTGCACAGGTACACTGTAAGATGCTTCAAAGTCATTTAATAACTTAAAAAATATTTCTTTCTCTGCCTGATTTATTTTTAAAAGTGCTTATTAAAAACCACAAACCTTTTTAAAAATACTTTTAAGAACAATAAAAATCCCATAAAAAATAATACAATTAAAAAGTTATGTCTTTTAAAACTTGATAATGCTTCTTTAAATAAGCTAAGGACTCTACATATTGTGTACACTGCTGTTTGATATTGAGCTTGTTAAATACTGGCAACAAATGTTATGCAGTTTTATAATACTTCATTATCTTATCTGATGACTTTTAACCAGTGATTATTAAGTTTTGCCTTCTACTTCTCACTTTTTTAATTAATTCACTTTTTGGGGCTTATAAACTACTAGGGACATTTGAGTGTTCAAATAAGAAAATACCAAATGATTTAAGTTTTTTAATAAAGTAATATTTACAAGTCACATTTAAAATAAATTAATCGACTGATTAGAATGAAAAATACAGATCCAGCTAAATGCATCTATTATTAGTAAATAAATTAAATACACTATTGGACAGCCATGTGTATTCAAATATACACAGAAATTTCTGTGTTCTGACTATATAAATAAATAGTTTTTCCCATCTTCTTTTTAAATATGAAACAAACAACATTCAGAATGGTATTACATACCAGGATCACATAGTTTGGCAAGTGTAACACAATCTTCTATATTGTAATTGGTATAAATATATTTCCATATAATATTTTGGGATAAAACATAGTTTAATAACTGCTGCATTTAATCCTGACATTCAAATGAAGAGTGATTTGTAATCTTCTTTTGGAAACATGTGCGTGCAGGTTAACCAATTAAAAACATTCCTTTGAAGAATTAACACCTAAAAATTTTTTGATCATTTCTTCTTCTGTTTTCCATATACACCATCAAGTGTTAATCCTAGAAGTATAAAAAAAGCATATATAATATTTCACTGTATGACAAAAATATATTTCTTTTTAAAAGCAGTATTTTTACGAATATTACAATGTTTGAAGGCTATAAAATACCAAAATTTTTATTGACTAATTATTATTAATACATGTATAATATTCAGTAAATTTTGAAGAAGGTACAAATGAAAATGCATATGAAGAAAAACATTTAATGTTTACAAAAGTTACATACACACTATGTTACATTAGACATTCTTGCAGCTTTTCGTCCCATCACTTTTCTTCGTATAGTGTGTAGAGAAGTCTAACAAAATCAGTGCCCTTCCCCCTTGAATATAAGATTTGTTCAGTTATGAGACTTTTCTTAAAAGAGAAGGCCAAAATGCAGCTGAAGTTCATTGCAGAATGTGTAAAAAACTGCACAAGTGACAGTTCGCATAAATGTGGTAAGATATTTCAAAAAAGTGAACAGACGTTCATGGCAAAAATGTTGAGGAAAAATGAATGATCAAACTGATGACTTTGTTCAAATTATATTTGACTCAAAAGTCAAATGACAACATCCAGCAACATGTCATGCAAAAGTTTTGATCAGAAGAGCATTGGCACACACACAGAACATTTGCACATAATTTTTTTTCATTCTTTTTATTTACAAATTCTTTAGACCATCATATTAAATCAGCAAAGTTATAAAAATACCAAAAATTATTTTTAAACTATTTCTTGGACCTTGAAATGATGGCATATTAAATTATCTGATATTTGTTTCAAAACAATGACAAATAATATAAATAATTTTTTCCCCTAAGGTATGTTAGTATATTGGATTTAACTGGTTATTTTGGGGATCCCAAACTCAGAAAAACACAACCACTATTGAGAACCACTATTCTCGAAATTATGAAAAACGACCACTATTGAGAACCATAAAAAGGTAAGACCACTATTTGGATTCTGGCTGACAAAGTAAAGATAGGTCCCTCACAACAGCTCCAATTTTACCAAACTTAAGTATATAAATCAATTTATTTATTTACTTCAACAGTTTATTATTCAGATTGTTTACAAAGTAAAGAAAGTAATCTCAAAACTTTTTGGTTATCAGATTTCAGCAGAAATATCCATTTTGGTGATTTTTTTTTTAATGCCTGCATGTATGGATAATATAAAGGACTTTTTTTCAAAACGGATTTTTCTGTGATTTCTGTACATACGTTCATATGATGTCATATAACTTCAAAACGATTAGTTGTACAACATTGAAATTTTGTGTATGGGACTGGATGTAACATCTAATTGTGCACCTCCCTATTTTATTGCAATCAGTCCCAAAATGTTCTTCTGAATTGGAATTATGAATATACTATAATATATATATATAAAATTATGAAAATATTATAATATATATATATATAATTATGAAAATATTCATGTGTTGGCACAATGCCAAATTTAAAAATAAAAAAAAATTGGACAAATAATAAAACCTAATTTTTGATGCGGTCTTCTAGTTTTTACATTTCAGAAAGTTTATAGTTACAAATTATTATGAAAAAATAAAATTGTACAAAGTTTGACTCTCATGTGAGAAAAATTGACTAGGATCTTTAATTTCAAAATTTGCAATTTTTGATGTCATTTTCAACTTGCCTTGAAGAATCCATTAATTAAGTTAGAATAATTTAAGGAAATAAGTTTAAATGAAGTGCAGCAAAAATATGTACAGTTTAATAGACCATACAAGTTATGTGGTGTACACATCAGATTTTTGTTTAAACTATGTATAACAATTAATCTCTAAGCTTTCATCTACTTTGCAGATCAACATGAATCATTATTTTGAGAAATTTCTCTAACAAAGCAAAAGAGACTTCAAGCATATAATTATTTGGATTTTCTAACATATCAAGCTATTTTTCACATTCTCTATGCTTTCATAGGGTTTACAAAGTTGCCAGCTTTTCATCTTTTAATGATATCAGACAGCATAAATCATTCACATCAGGCTAATTAAGAGTATCATTATAATTATTTATCAGATATTTATTGCAATTTAATATTAATTCATTATTAAGTATGTTACATTTCAACATTAAATGGTTAAACAAATTTCAAAATACTGAATTCATCTTACCAGTAAATACGAGGGCAGTACCCATCCACTGCCTTGGAGCTAATGAATTTCCAAATATAAATACTGATCCTAAGACTGTAAAAAACTTTCTTGTAGTAGTTATTATGGAACAAAGAAGGGGTCCAAAGTCACTTACAACTAAGTATATGAAAACCTAAAAAAGAAAAATAATTAATTAGAAAGAAATTCTGTTATGAGGAACAGTATTGTAGAATACATAATAAAATGAAAAATTCTAACATAATTCATTTTTTGTAATTATGTATTTTATATTGAAAATTTAAGTGGAAACACAATGGAACCACAAATTTTAAAAGAATCCCACGTTTAAATGGAAATTTTAAACAAAAATAAATGAGCAACTCATTAAAATGCTTCTTTTAAATGAAAAAATTTCATAACTTTTTAAGCAAAAGAAGCATCTTTACTAATTACTTAAGCATAAACCGATATTTAAACAAAAATTCATTTAGAATTTGTTCAGATTCTATATGAATGAAGAAATTTAGTATTAATAATAACATAATTTAACTCTAACTGCATGGTTGCATTCTCCTCCTATTTACAACAAGAAAACATTTCCAAATAGCGTATAACTTTAGCATTGCTTAAAAAAATTTATCTTATTTCTAAGGAAAGAAAGTACAAACCTGTTCAGACACTTATTTTCTTAAGATCTTTTCTAAATTAGGGCTGTTGGCCCATCTACCATGCAAATACTTACACCTCTCATTAGAAAAGGCCCCCTTTACTAGCCAATGAGTCTTCAGATGGTGAGTCAGACATTGATTCATGCCTACTCATGTAAAGATCTAATAGCCTCACTCCAACAACAAATTCCTCAAAGCTGACAAACCAAGGAACTTACTGTATAGTAAAGCACATTATTATTTATAATATATTTTATTAAATATGTATTATCTATTCATTCTATCTCCTATCCCATGAATACCATTTGAAGATTAACACACACATTTATATCAATACATATAATTATTAAAAGAAAGGAAAAGTCATATATAGATATATGTATTAATGAGCAAAAGATGCAGGTATATATAACAAAATTTGGGTTTTGATGCATAGTATGTATACTAAACTGCTTTTCATAATTATTATTCAGATCTTGCACACTTCACTGAATGCATACTACTACACCTACTAAGATATGATTCAAATGGCTGAAGACATTTTAAGATATTAGTTAAATCTTATTAGATTAGACAACATTATATTATAGCCAATTTAAAATTTTTTATTATGAATCCAGTTTGAAGAATTAATGCCCAAGGAAAGCATTTTACTTAATAACTTAACATACCACATCTACTTTTATTATTTTTTTTTTTTTTTTTTTTTTTTGCTTTGATAATTATAAAAAAGCATTCAAGAGTTACCTACCAGAGGGTTGCCCTCATGGAGGATTTTTAAAGGAAATTTATTATTATATATAATGAAAACTAGAAAACTTTCATGCAGCTAGCCTATTTGCCAATATTAAAATCAGGCAGAACTACCACTGCTTAGTGATTTTAATCAATTAGTCATTGGTGGATCCTTTCTGTTCAATAACAAGTGGATACAGAATTAAGTTAGGTTAGGTTATTTAATTGCGGCAAAGCCTCGAGGGCTATCTGCCTAAGGGAAGGGATGCCTTCGTGGAGGACTTTCTAAGGGCAACTGGCTCGTATACACGTTACACATGGGGCAAACCACGAAAACCCCATGCAGCCAGCCCGTTCGCGGGATTCAAACCTCGGACCGAACTACCAGTGTTCAGCGACTTTACCGCTCGGCCGCTGGTGGGCCCACGGGTACAGAATTAACAGAGTATTAAATTACACTCCTGAGGAACAAAGACTAATAGATGGCTATTTGATATCTAAATTACTTTACTGAGCAACAACAACAGTATAGCCTCATCCTGAATTCTAAATTATAAACATTTGTTTTTAAAATCTGATATCATAATAGTCATTTACTTAATAGCAAATGCTTATTTTCACTTCAAACAGACAAAAATATAAAACAGTTTCATCTGAACACACTGACCTGAAAAAGAACAACAAATGTGCAAACTTGAATGAAAAAAAAAAGGGGGTTGTCTTATTCCATATACATGACGGTTAAAAAATAATGTGAGGTATTCAGAGCCCTCTAGCAAGTAAAGTATTGCACGAAACATAACCAAATCAGATGAGCATAGAATGTAGACCACAGAAATTTTATTTCTTAAAAAAATATAAATAAATAAAAAAAAAAAAAAAAAAAAAAAAAAAAAATAAAAAATAAAAATCTGAAATTTTCAGATTTTAAATTACGTCCAAAGGGGCGTTTTTTACATTTGTGTGTTACCTTTCTTTATTAAATATCATGTTCCTCGCACTTAAACCATAAGATCCAGTGCAACAGCAATATCGCAAAATAGTTTTAAAATGAGCATATCTTTAGAATTTCCGATACAGAGACTCACGCGCTGGAGATAAAATGTTTTTTGCACAACGTTGCCATTGCTCGCTTTGAAATCCTTGAGTTTGTTAATCAAAAATTCGTCAAAGTTTTAAAAAAAATAGGAAATCGATCATAAAACAAATTTCAAATTTCAAATTTGGTCTTCCACGTGCTCATATTCGTTGGAGGATTACGTTATTCAAAATTCGATGACTCTATGTACCAATGACATGACAATGTCACATTGTTATGACAATGTGAGAAATATACATACATTTACGCAGATTTTCGTTATTTAATTTATTCAAATATAATGCAGGACTCTAACATTTTATGGCAACAGTTTGAAAAGTGAACCGACATTTATCCGTCCGACGCAAAATGCCAAAACGAAACTAATAGTCCTTCGGGATTCAAATCCCTTTGGACTAATAAAAAAATAAGTACTAAAAGCTGTCACCAGGATAAATGTTGGTGCTATAAAAATATATTTCTGTGAATAATAAATGCTTGAATGCCAAATGACACAGCACACATCAACTTTATCAACAACAAATGATTACAAATCAGGTTCAATATTCCCACTATTGTGAAGTCTCAAGAGCTGAATATGCTGCACGACATTTCCCATGGTGGCTCACAATGTATCATTCACCTGTAACACTATTCGACCTTTCAAAGTTGTGATATTGTGGACATTCCTTTGATACACAACACCTTTGAGAAATCACCACAATCAAAAGTGAAAAAGCTTGAGAATGGGTGACCATGGTAACCATACCATAGGAAATTCATGACTAATGATTCTTCTGTTATTGCCTGTCATAGAAATGTTGCTGCAACACATGCGGTACCTTAGGTCGAATGTGGAGTGGTGCACCATCCTGCATGTCAAATCGAGACATCCTCGCTGTTGCAGTTATGGAATTGTGAAGTTCTATACCATATTGGCCTACTAATCAGCGGTAACAGTACATGTCACTGGTCCACTTTCATGATTTTCCTCTTAAAAGTAAGGACCAATGATAAAAAATGCTATAATGCTACATCATGCTAAGACTTTTGGCAAATGTAGAGGCTCCAGCACACAAGCTTGTGGATTATATATGAAGCCCAAATGCGACAGTTGCATGTTAATACCAGCATTCAAATGAAAGTGTCTTCGGCACTCCATAAAATCTGCCCCGGCCATGTGTGCTAATGTCAACTTCCATGTGTGCTAAGAATTTCATACAAAAATTAGATCAGGTGGCTGCATCACCAGTGTACAATTCTTGAACAGAAGAGATTTTATACAAGTAAAATTTCAACATCTGATGCAGGATTTTTTGCACCTTTGAGTATGGGATCAGCGTGTGCCAGGATACTGCCCAAGCAATTACTGGTATTCTGCACATTTGTCGTCTTCAACAATAGCAGTTGCAAATTCTTCAACTTCTTGTTCCTTTGCATTTCTGGCCTGGTTGCTGTGCTTAGAGTTCCTGTAGTTTCAAATCGTTGAATCCTGTTTCATATGTTAGGTTCATCTAATTTATCTATCTAAGTTTAATTCTGTTTTGTTCAATACTTTGAGCATAAGAGGATTCTGCATACCTCATGCTATTTTGTAACCATCCTGTATTTTTTGCTTATACCCTTTTTTTTTCCAAGTGCAACACAAAAATATGTAAAGGGTTCTGCAATTAAATTTTTGGAACAAACTTGACAATATTATGAAATACAGTCGTTAATTTTCCAAAAAATGATATTAAAATGCATTTTATATTCTGAAATCACTTACCTGACCTAGTGCACTCATCACAGAAAATCCTAACATATTATAAATAATATAGGGATATTTTTCTACAAACTGCAAGAAGCCCCATATTTCACCAGTAAGTAAAATTGCTAGAAAAGAATGTAAAAACATATATATTATACATTGTAACAAACTAAGCTCCTAATATAAATTTAATAGAATTTAGTAAAATGTATCAAAATGAGGGAACCCAGAAGTAGGAAGTTTAATTCTGAAAATTGTTTTTTAAAAAGAACTTAAATGTAAATCATGAAAAAACTTTTTAAGGGGACTGAATTTATATATATATACATAATAATTCAAATAATAAAATTAATTATTTTTAAAATAGTATTTGCTATTTTTCCAACAGAAAATTTTATTTTTATACAGTACAAAGTCCATAATCCGGACTCGTCAGGACTTCGGTGATTCTGGATTAGGGGTTTTTCCAGAATATAGATCATCAATTTAAATCTGGTAAGATGGCATGCAGAAATTATACAATTAAAAATATGAAACCGTAATTTATGAAATAAAGAGCAATTATGGTCGAAAGGTGTATCAAAATTTACAAAAAAAAAGGTTAATATTTATTTGTTTACTTTACTAAACATTTCTTTCAATGTAAGTTGTTTAAGTTGCTTCATTATTTCTGCTAATACTTTCTCTTTAATTCTATAAACATACATAATTTCTTGTTCAGTTACAAAGTTCCACTGTTCAAGTCCCATAATTGATGAGTCAAGAATACCGACTGATTTGTCAATGGAAATGTTTTCGTTTTCAATAACCTCTCTGTCACTTTCTTCACTATCGGAAGCGGTATTTTGTGGATCTAGAACCATACTACAGATTTCGCCGTCCATTAATTGATTGATGATTGAGGCATTGTCATCGTAATGAAAAACTTCTGTTTTATCATCTTCATTTATTACCGCTTCTTCACATTTCTTAAAAAAATCCAATAACTGGAAAATTTCACCTTTAGTTTGCTATATCCGAAAACCTTCAAATTCGCGGCTACCATCTTCATCGTCCTCACCATGAAATATGGTAGCTGGCCATAAAATATGCCAAGCATTTTTTAACATATCTGGAGACACATCCTCCCAACGTGCATGCGTAAAGCATACAAAAAAAAAAAAGTTTGTGGCTTTGAGGTCTGGATTATAAATCATTCCAGATAATGGACGTTTGGATTACAGACTTTGTACTGTACATATTTTCTGGAAAGATGAAAAACATATGCAATTAAGAATAATACTTTAGAAATAGGTATCCTTCATACTATTTTGTTTCCCAAATGTCGACTTTCAAAGGAACATCAAAGCAAAAGCATGACTTTTAAACCTCAGCAGGATAATATAGAACAGAACAATCAACCTGCAATAAACTCTGGTTCTAAGCTTTCAGTATACAAATATATTGTAGGTAAATGCTAACTAATATTCTTTAAAAAGAATAAATTCTATATTATTTACTAGAAAACCTGATGTAAATATCAAGATCTGTGGTAGTTCTTGGTAATAAAAGAAGTTCAGCATAAAAACTGTTCTTGGTAACCTGCTTAATGAAAATTCAGGATTATCTACTTAATTACAGTACACAACATGACAGTAGTAAGGGGAATTCAGTAAATTTTGGCTTTTGACTCCAAAATCAGAAAATTTAAAACTTCTTGTGGCTTTAAAAATAGCCAGTCTGGTACTTCTTTTTACCACTTCTTGGTAAAATGAAATGTACTTTGGAATAATATATTGGATGTTTCAATAAGAAAAAATATAGTGTTTATATCTTCTATGTAATGAAAAACAGTATGACAAACCACATGATCCAGTTAACAAAGGACTAGAATTCAATTTTTCAGACCAACAAAAAAAAAAAAAAAAAAAAATCTGTCAATAACCTTTAAGCAAAGAACAGGGCAGATTCAAAAGTTGTCATGAATGTAAACTGATTTCTGTCATTTTTAAAACATATAATGGAATCTAAAATTGTGCTCAGAGATAATGAATATAGAGCACATGCAGTGATGTTAATTCTGTAATGCTACACTCAGAAAAATAATGTAATATGAATTCTAATTTTTTTATATATTAAGAGAATTATAAATAAGAATAATACATATAAATTCAAAGCCTCAAGGTCTATATGCCTAAGGGAAGAGATGCCTTCGTGGAGAACTTTCTAAAGGAAACTGGCTCATATACATGTTACACATAGGGAAAACCAAGAAAACGCCCAACACATAATTGAAAGTTAAGAGGAATAAAGAGCTTACCAAGACCTAATATAAGAGTAGACCACAGGTTAATACTATACATCATATGACAGGATTTTGATTGGTATTCAGCCCTCATTCGGTCTTGTATGGCTCCAGTAAAACCATCCAAAGACAGAGAAATTAACTAGAAAGAAAGAAAAATTAATCATGGCATTCACAGTTTCCTTGCATACTTCCATATACACATGTTTAAAAAAAAATCTCATGCATCCAGCACATGACCTCCCAGCAAATTCCACGTTAAGATATGGAATTGGCGGAATAGCAATGAGCTTTTCAGTAAACTAAAATTTCCCTCAAACTATCACTTTTAAGTAAACTATCACTATAAATTTAATTTGTTTTTGCACTTGATGGCTCAATGTTTTTAATTTGTTTTGCACTTGATGGCTCAATGTTTATTATTCTATTCTCTCATACAATAGACAGTGAGTCATATGCTCACATACACACCAATTCTCCTGCTTTGATCTTACATCGCATCGACCGTAGCGTATTCTCTGAACATATAGTATTTCGGATTCTCAAATCAATGACTTAACAATCACAAAATATTTAAAAGCAGTATACAGTACAAAATCCGTAATCTGAACGTCCATTATCCGGAAAGATCTATAATCCGGACCTCAAAGCTACAAACTTTTTTTGTATGCTTTATGCATGCGCGTTTAATGCGCACTTCCGATATGCATGCATGCTTCCGATAGTGAAAAAAGTGACAGAGAGGTTATTGAAAATGAAAAAATTTCGATTGACAAGTTAGTCGGTATTCTCGATACAGCAATTACAAAGACGGAAACAGTGAAATTGGACTGAACAAAAATTATGTATGTCTGTTTTAGAATAAAGAGAAAGTATAGCACAAAAAACGAAGCACTTAAACAACTTACATTAAAAGAAATGTTTAATAAAGTACGAATAAATATTAAGCTTTTTTTTTTTTTTTTTTTTTTTTTTTTTTTGTAAATGTGATACTCTTTAGATGATAATGCTCTTATTCCTAAATTACGGTTCATATTTTTTAATTGTATAATTTCTGCATGCCACCTCACCAGATTAAACTAATGATCTATAATCCAAAAAACCCCTAATCCGGATCGCCAAATCCGACGAGCTGGATACGGACTTTGTACTGTATCTTGAATTCTCGGCATTTGTTTTTATACCTGCTATATTATTTCCTTAAAAATAATACAAAGTAATACTTAAAGCAAATACACTTAATGCAAATAAATGTAATATGTTGTTTGCAATGATACACCTATTTTAAAAACCAAATCTGAGAAGTTTTGGATTATCTCATAATATTTTTTTTTTCTTTTTATCTTTTCCTTTTTTTTAAAATTTTTTTTTATGTATATTCAGAGTTTCAAGTAAGTATCACTTCTGGTTTATCAATTTTATCCAAAATCTAATGTGTTCCTTTCAATATAAAAACCTTAAATAATAAAATTAAAAAGTTTTGGATTATATTTTAATATAGTTTTCCATTGAAAACTGTTATGGGCTTCCAGTAAAGTACAAAGTTTAATTGCCTAATTTTACCAAAAACTTAATCAACTCTATGATTGCAGAAAGTTTAAATACAAAAAAGAGAAATTTTTGGAAGTTTGATATAAGCCTTATTGCATATGAAAAAAAAAAAAAAAAAAAAAACATCATACACATACATGCACATCATTATAAAAACCTCTTGTGGGGGAACCTAATTCATGCTTATTCATTGAAAATTCACTACTAAATTTCTTGGCCAAAATATTATCTTCCTTACTTATGTGTATACCTATGTTATATGGCAGGAGGAAAAAAAAAACACTTTTAATACAATGCATACATAATGGATTTAAATATTCATATATATTCGCATGTTCTTCTTCAATTATGAAATTACAGATTTTGAACAAATGGTCAAGATATAACATGTCACAAGAAATTCTTTGAAGCCTATTCACATATTATGAATAGTAGAGGAAAGGACATTTACCAATAAAATTTCACCCATTCCCAAAAGTGGGCCATCTTCAGTATCAACTGTAGCTGGTTTATCTTTGTACATGAAAAGGCAGACACCCACTACAATCATGAAGACATACACATATTTAGCAAGAGGATATTGTTTTTTTCCAATAAGAACACCTAAAATCATTACAGGAATAGGCTTGCATGATTTTCCTACAACCTATGAAATAAAATAAAATTTGGTTCATAAAAATGTGCATAATACTAAACACATATTTTATTAATATTTAATAAAATCTTTCATTATATGTTATTGAAATTTTCGTTTGCATTCAAGACATGTGCATACAGACATATAACTATGTGAATTTTAGAAAATGATTATTACAATCTGACAATGAAGGAATTACAATATACATTTTTAAAGATATCAAACTTTCAAATTTAAAATGCAGAATGAATTATATTCCCTACACATATATTAAGACATTCATTTTAATACACAAAATTTACATAAACAAATTTACAATTATTTATCTGTATTGTCTATAAAAGTGAAAAATGATAATTAAGTAAAAAGTGAAATATTAACAGCTTTGCTTCCTCTACATGATACTCCATATGATCATAATAGTTATATAATGTTACATAAGATATGACCATAATAGTTAATAATGAATAATGACCATAATAGTTACATAAGAAAAATTCTTTAAATTTAATTAAAAGAGAAAATAATTTTATCTTCTACATACAAACACTACTGTAGAATCACCTTAAAAGCATTTATAACATTTACATTTAATCTAGTAGTTTTTATATTACATATTGCATATTATTTTAAATTCTCATTTTTCCATTCATTTTATTATTATTATTTAAATTACTAGTATTTTGAACAATGTAATTTACGATTAAGTAAATTACATTGCTCAACATACTGTTCTGAGGTCAATTATATTTTAAATATTGCACTGAAAAAATTACTTTTGATTTATTTTCAAATGTTTGAGATCTGACTTAGTTTAATTTCATTAGTGCATGCCTTTCAATTTTTCAGATTTTGTGTATAAATAACTTCTAAATGTCTGCTAGAAATCAGATATATCTCTAGTTCAACTCTTCTAAGATATTTTTATACAAAATTATAAATAATATAAAGCGATGAAATGTACGAAAATATTTTGTGTAGATTTTATACATTAAAAATTACACCAAAGAAGGATAAAATTATTAAAAGCAAATGTAGAAGTGTAGAACAGATAAAATTAATATAAAATAAATAAATAAAAAGAGACATTCATATAAATTACAATAATTTAAAATATTCTGATGAAAGCTATCTAAAATAATGATGTCATATCTCTGAAAATATTTCTTGGTTATATTATCATAGACAAATTCATCACAAAGAAAAAGATTAAAATATTTTTATTAATGGTCTTAATGTTTGCAAATGGACACGTTTAGTAGCATGACAAAAAAACCCAGTTGTTTCCATTTCACATTGCATATGCATATTCAGCGTAACTATAATCAATAAAATGGCTTTTTCTAGTTTCTTGACTGTTTCATTAAAACTGGGAGAGTTCAGGAAAATCTCAAGTGCTATCATAATTTGAATGACTGTTATTTTATGTTTTTTTATTACAATTATTTTTGACACTCTAACATCAATTTCAGATGCTTCTTCTCACCTCATTAGGTGAAGTTCTTTGCTTTTCTAGGTATACTGTCACGAGACTGAATTTTGTGGCTTTCCACATAAAAAAAAAAAAAAAAAAAAAAGGCTGTCTTTCTAACAAGTAGACAAGCACAGACAATTTATCCCCTTTTGAACTCTTTCACAGTCTCCATTTATTTCCTAAAATTTTCAATCTTTTATCACTGAAAATTCAAACTTCACACTGGAACTCTTGATAAAATTTCAAATTTTAAGGCTTCCTAATGGGAAGAGTAACATTTGTTTGAAATCTGAAAGGCTGTATTTATCAAATGTTTCATTGTCCAACTCCTCAATACATATTCAATGCTAATAATTTTGATGTTGTTCATAGTTGTTTGATGCTTTAAATGACATTCTAAATTGTCATTTAAGGACTTGACAACCTGGTGTTTAGTTACAAAAGTTTAGTAATTGAAGCATTAAAGCTGAAAAAAATAAAAAGTTTGAAAAACTATGACATAAAAATTTGGTTAAGAGCTACTGTTTATGTTTATATAGTGTGTATATATATATATGTATACACTGCAATAATTGGTCATAATTTAGCCATTATAATATGACCATCCTCCATCTATAACAATGGGCTCGCCCAAGAACAAAGCCACTGCATATGCACAGCTGATGTTGAAGTATATAAAGCAGCTATGCATTGTCTTTCCAAACACTGTAGCAGAGTGGTGCAGTGGAAGCATGCTGGGCCCATAACCCAAAGGTCCATGGATTAAAACCATGCTGTGATAGTTAATTTTTTGTGGGCAGTAGGAAGTTGACGTCGCTGTACAACAGATGTAATATTCTAATGTTCTTCCTTGTTCATAGTTCAAGACTTTTGTTTCTTATCATATTGATCACTTTCTGATGTTACTGATCACTTTCTGATCAATATTACTGAAACAAAGCACTATCTTAAAAGATGAGGATAATGATGAACTTTTTGATGAAGTTTTTGCAATGGAGGCATTGCTGAAACAATGCACACGAGGTGAAAAGTTTCTGCTAAACTGAAATGCTGTGAAACAAACTTTATTAAAAGAATTGTCAGCAAAAACTTTCCTACAGATGTTAAGATTCCTTGATCAAAAGAACATACCGCAAGATGAAGGGTGGTCTTCACCTAAGAAAACCACCATCAGCCCAGGTTTGTGCTCCAGTGCTGATTTCTTTGAATCCTTTCATAAATTTAGACTCTGGAAAAACTCAGGAAAACCCTGTGCTTGTACCTACAAATGCTCCTGATTGTGTGGAAACACTGATTGATGTCGATTCTAATCTCTCATCGACTACTATTGGTTTGAAACATAAGTAATGGCCATTTATGTTGTGTTTAAAATTACACGGTAAAAATAAAATGTATTGGCATAATGTATTGTGTTATTCGAAAGAGAATCTTTCTTTCTACAAGATGGCATATTTTATCTTTTGTCTGAGCTAATTTTTGTTATTTTTCAGATCATTAAAATGGAGTGTCAAGTCGACAAAGAAACGCATTTTCGAAACCTTCTTCTTTATGCATTTAATCAAGCGCCAAAGCTGCAGAAGCTGCCCAAAAGATTTGTGAATTGTATGGAGAAGGTGCAATGCCTGAACGAACTGCAAGATATTGGTTTGTCAAATTCAAAAATGAAAATTTCAACCTCGAAGACGCTGCTTGTTCTGAACAACCAAATGAGTTTGATGAAGAGCATTTGAATCAACTTCTAAATTAAGATGCATGTCAAACCACTCGAGAATGAGCAGAATGAATGGGTTATAGCCAAATGACTATAGTTCGACATCTTGAATCTATGGGGAAAATCCAAAAACTCGAATATTATTGACTAATTTATAGTTTTTTTTGTTTTGTTAAAATAAAAATTTTTAAATTAAAAAAGGGGCCATTACTTATGTTTCAACCCAATAAAAAGAGAAACTTCCGCCGATCATCTTCCTCCCCCCCTCCGGATGTCACCTGGAATGAACTGAAAAGATTATTACTCAGAACAGAGTAAATGACTTTATTGGAGCTCTCTTACTTGAATGTAGCACTACTATCATATTTAAATCCAGCGACCAATGTAACCCTACACTTGCTGTTCTTATGAAGCATTAGGTACAATTCAGTACCTTCAGAGTTAAAGCTGATACTCCACTGGATACAATGTCACTACTCGTGGTCTTTCCTGTGGATATGACTCCTATAATGATATCATGACTGAACTCAGTCAGATGGGCTTCCCTGTGCAGAAAGTAAAACACTTTACAAGAAAAAATGAGGATCATGAGAGATGATTCCTGTGTTTCATGCCTCTGTGCAGGGAGAAAAATCTACACAGTTATGACTCTGCAAAATTTGAGTGTGAGAATCAGAAAATACCGTTCTGGTAAGAATCTGATACAATGTTTTAGATGCTAGAGTTTTGGCCACTGCTAAATATTTTGTAGCAACAGCCCGCGCTGTCTCAAGTGTTCTGGAAACCACCTGACTTATATGTGCAAACTCCCAAGAGATGCTAAGCTGACCTGTGCCTGCTGCAAAAAAGATCATATTTCATTCTTTTATGGCTCTGAACTCTTTCCAAAAACTCGTTATGTTAAATCTTCTCAGCAGCCTCTAAAAGCACCTCCTAAAACTAAATCATTTACAGTGCCTACAGCTAATGAAAGATCTTTCCCCATTTCATCTCCTGATTCCTTTTTCTTAAACCCTAATGATTTTAGTAAAACCCTAAACGGACATTGCACATAAATGTAAAGCTACGAACGACATTGAAATTAATTTGCTCCACACGCTTCATGTTCGAGATTCAAATTTTTAATATTATCAACTATGCAAATGTTAGATCATAAAATGCAGGAAGTAAATTCATACAGTCAAAAGTCGTTAATCCGGACTCGTCGGGACTTCGGCGATTCCGGATTATCGATTTTTCCAGATCATAGATCATCAGTTTAAATCTGGTAAGATGGCATGCAGAAATTACAAAATTAAAAATATGAAACCATAATTTATGAAATAAAGAACAATTATGATCTAAAGGGTATCAAAATTTACAAAAAGAAAAAGCTTAATATTTATTTGTTTACTTTATTAAACATTTTCCTTCAATGTAAGTTGTAAGTTGCTTCGTTTCATGTGATAATACTTTCTCTTTAATTCTATTAAACAGACATAATTTCTTGTTTAGTTACAAAGTTCCGCTGTTCAAGTCCTATAATTGCTGTGTTGAGAATACCGACTAATTTGTCAATCGAAATTTTTTTGTTTTCAATAACCTCTGGGTCACTTTCTTCACTATCGGAAGCGAATTATAATGACGAGGAACTTGATTTAAATCATATCAAAGACGGAGTATATCGAGATGAAATACTACACTTAGTACGGAATTATAAACCAAATAAAATAAAAACATCTGCTCTGAAGATAAGGATAGTGCTGACAGATCAACTTCCAATCCCCAGCGTGAAATTGATAAACAGATTTCGGATTTCAAAACATACTTTCGCTTTGTAGATCAAATTACATATTAGTAAATATATATCGGAAATTCTATTTGATAATCGAAAGTTCAAGCTTACTTTTATAAAATTGCTCTAACAGTCTGCAAAAAATAATAAGCCGGATACGATTCGAAGATTAAGGAACAACGCAATCTGCAACATTAACTGAAATAGATAATTAGCTTAAACTCCTTTACAACGCACGCATTTGTGCGCATATGCGCAGTCGTAAAGGTCTTACGCGCACGCGTGAACGCCTCTGCGCATGTGTCAACGCGGCGCATGCGCAGAAAGTTTTTAGTTTTGATGTCCGGATTATAGATCATTCCGAATTATGGGTGTCCGAATTAACGACATTTGACTGTATATGATAAAATTCATAAAAACTTGCATACAAATAAAAAAGTGCTTTATAATACATTTTTTACATTAAAAAATATAAATCTTATTCATAACAACTTCTTTGCAATCACTTCTTGCTAAATTTTTTGCTCCTCTTACGTAATTTTTATAAATAATCACTTCAGAAAGAGATGAATAACTCCTGCGTCTTACCTGTGTAGGGTAATTTACATGCTGTAAGGCCATATTACTTGAGACCATAGCACCAAGATAAGAAAACCCACAAACAGCATAATATAATTGTTTTGTCGGATCTTCACCTTGCTTCATGATAGTGTGTAACACTAAATAAGTTAACAACAAAAAATATTAGAAAATGATCAAAAAATGATCAGAAAAATATTAGCCAAATTGTTCAAAGTATTGGATATTTCACACACTGAATCATGCTTCAAACTAAACAGAATAAACTTGGTTAAGTATTTATGCTTGTTAAAAGTATAGTATACGTTTTAAATAACTTGAAATTTAGCAGCTAGATTATAATGAAGTCTACGATTCTTAGGATTAGATTATGAAATATTTTATAGAATCATTCTGATATTTTTGGACTGCACACACTCCCACCCAAAAGCCACAAAATATACTGATGAGACAACTCACCATGTTATCAAAAAATATTTATGAGACAATCTAGGAATACACATAGCATCTCTTCCCAAATGACCTTCCACTTCACTGCAAATTATCCCTTCTATGAGAATTTCAGAATTTTAGCACAGAAATGGATCACATGCTACAGGTTTCATCATCATCTTTAGCAGAACCTTGGGCATCTTTCTGCACACATTGAGATTTTTATGGTTTTCCATCTCATTTTAATACCGAAGTTGTGTGCAATTCCAAGTTTATGTAATTTCCCCCCTTTTATATTCTTTTTGGCAATTACAGAAAAAGAAGATAACAAATACACAGCACTGTCTGCATTGTTAAAATAGATGCAAAGATACCTGACTTAATAAATTACTTTTTCTCTCCAAAGTCCCAGATTAATTTAAAATTTTTTTTCTAGTAGGGATGCAGACAATCAGAAAGTACCATCATTTCTTACATCCGCACTTCCCATTTTTTTTATTCAAAATTTTATTCATACGAAAATAATTGAAATTTCGGTTAATATTTGGATTATGGTAACTTGGCAATTTTTTGGCGAAAATTTGGCGACCAACCCTGCTACAGCAGCCTGCTAGTTTTTGTTTGGACGCCATTTTGTTTTCACGAAGTAAAGGCCTTTTTTTTTTTTTTAACTCAAAATTTTTTTCAAACAATCTGCTAGCCAAATTACACTTATGCTAGAACTTTTATGGAACAAAAATGCTTAATCATGAGGAAGATTACGTGCAAAATTGGGAGAAAGTGCAGAATTGGAAACTGCTTGCCGCGTTTTTAAGAATTGCGCTTACACGGTATCCGTGTACTTGTCAACCTATTTTAACTTAAAAAAACCTCCCAGAATTGCACAAAAATGGCATTCACACACTCTTGACTTTATCCATGTACACTGCTAAAGTCCTAGCTAGTAACCTTTATCGCCTTACCAAAATGTCGCCAAACTACCTGTTACCATATTCCAAAGATTAGCCGAAGTTTTTATCCATATAGTTTAACCTTTTGTAGACAGATGGCCAATATATTGGCAGTTGTATTCCCTTTTTGAATGGACGGGGTTGTCCACTTTATTGGCCATGTCTTTTTCCCCCATTTTACAGGCTGAAAAGTGGGGTGAAATGTCAAATTTGACGTCCCTGGGTTTTCAACCACTTATCTCTTTCAAAGAACTCCCTTTTGCAACATAGATGCACCCCTCTGAGAATCCATTAAACTACATAAGAATCTTTGTTGCAAATAGGAGGTGATTTCTTAACGAGGGGAAAGCATTCGGTTCAAGATTTCCCGTCTTTTGGTAGCTTTTACTGCTACCAAAGCCCAGGCCTCAAAAGGTTAAATTAAACTTCCAGTAAACAATTTAAATGACTTAGATGAAAAATTATAAAATATATCTTCATTCAACTCTTTATGCCAAGATTTTTATAACCCACAGCTTCAGCTACTATTAATACAAAATAAAATTAGGGATTTCAAAAACACATAAATATCTTCACCTTTATTAATGTTTTTAAAAGTTAACTACAGTTTTAATGTGATACAAGGCATAGGTTTTTCTCTGCATGTTTGTTTTTATTAACAAAAACTATTTTATACAATCATTATTATTTTAAAAGCCAAATATGAGCTCGCTTAAATTAAAATAGCTAAAAGACTAAAGATGGAGAAGAATGTTCAGTTAGAACATGAAGTTCTGACTTGTGTCTCTTGTAATATAATATTGCAGAATATTTAAAAGGCCCATTAATGATGGAGTGGATAAGACTATTGAGAACTGGTAATTTAAATCCAAATGAACAGGTTATCTACCTGAGTACTTTTATGGTTTTTTACAATGTGCAATGTGAATAAAGCACAAAGTTCAAAATAAAAAATTATTGGGACTTCAACAATTCCAGATTTTAGATCCAACAGTTTATATCTTGTAAGATAACATGCAGAAATTATATAACAAAAATATTCTTTATTAATGTTTAAAACCATACTACTGATATTCATCTTTCTGCTAAATGACTGATGATTGAGGTATTGTCATCACAATGTAAGACTTCATTATATCATCTTCATTTAGCATTTCTTCCAATACTCCATTAATTGGAAAATTTTGCTTTTTCTTGGGATATCCGAAAACTTCAACTCTCATCATCATCATCACAAAATCTGATAATTATAAATCTGCCAAGTTTTAAATTATACCAAGCATTTTTAAAAATATCTGCAGACTCTTTCTCTCATGATCTTGCAATGTTCTGTATATCAGATTTTTATATTAAAATATTTCTAAAATTCTTGGATGGGTTTACTTCATCAGTTTTTAAATACCTATTTTATACAGTCAAAAGTCGTTAATCCGGACTCGTAGGGACTTAGGCAATTCCGGATTATCGATTTTTCTGGATTATAGATCATCAGTTTAAATCTTGTAAGATGGCATTCAGAAATTCTAAAATTAAAAATATGAAACCGTCATTTATGAAATAAAGAACAATTATGATATAAAGGGTATCAAAATTTACAAAAAAAAACAAAAAAAAAAAGCTTAATATTTATTTGTTTACTTTATTAAACATTTCTTTCGATGTAAGTTGTTTAAGTTGCTTTGTTTTATGTGATAATACTTTCTCTTTAATTCTATAAACAGACATAATTTCTTGTTCAGTTACAAAGTTCTGCTGTTCAAGTCCCATAATTGCCGTGCCGAGAATACCGACTAACTTGTCAATCGAAATTTTTTCGTTTTCACTAACCTCTCTGTCACCTCTTCATGTCTTTATCCATTTTTGCAGCAATTCCACTTTTTGTTTGACGGACATCGAAACATGCTTTCGCTTCGTACATCCTTTGGCAGCTCCAGAATCCGGAATTCTTATTTGACATAATCGAAAGTTCAAGCTTACATTTATAAAATTGCTCTAACCATCTGCAAAAAATAATAAGCCGCATCCAATTAGAAGATTAAAGAACAACAATCACCAATCTGCAACATTGAAACAGACATTAGATAATTTTAGCTTAGCTTATACTATCTGTTATACATTAAACGTGCACGCATAAACGTATTATGCGAATTCGTAAACGCATATGTGTATGCGTAAGAGGTATGACGTGCACATGCGTAAAACACATATGCGCATGCAATTCGTTTACGCATGCGCAGAACGTTTTTAGCTTTGAGGCCCGGATTATAGATCATTCCGGATTATGGGTGTCCGAATTAACGACTTTTGACTGTATTTGTATTTTGATGCATGCAAAATTCTAATTGGCTCATTGATTGATGTATAGTTTCAAAGGATGAGATGTTATCATACACTAAAACTGTAATTTTAATAAGATTAATAGTAGATGAACAAAATAATAAGCTTCTGTTGTTGTGGCAATAAAAGAAAACCAGCACGAGCCAGAATGCACTCTAAATAAACTTGGCTCGGGAATTTACTCATTGTTTAGGTCAGATAGAAAATGTTTCCACTGGCTACACTATTCAAGGGCTAAAACAGCAGTTGAAGCTATCAGTACAACTTCAATCAAGGTATTGCTTTTGGGCATGGTGTGATTCCTTAGCTATCAGGCATTTGAAGGTGACATACAGAATCTCAGTTAGTCAGGAGAAAAACTGCTTTTATGGCACACTTTCTTTTTTACCATTTCCAAACTTTGTAATTAAAAAAAAAAAACTGTCACTAGTGGTTAGGAGGTCTAGATATCAGATCATTCTGATATTGGATGTTTGGATTTCGTACTTTGCATTGTATAAGCTACTTTTAACTAGAAAATCGGCTAATCTTTGGAATATAGTAACAGGTAGTTTGGCGACATTTTGGTAAGGGGATAAAGGTTACTAGCTAGGACTTTAGCAGTGTACATGGATACAGACAAGAGTGTGCGCAATGCCATTTATGTGCAATTCTGGGATTTTTTTTAAAGTGAAAATAGGTCAACGTGTACATGGATAATACCGTGTATGTGCAATTCTTAAAAACGCGGCAAGCAATGGGCGATTCTGAACTTTCTCCCAATTTCGCACCTAATCTTTGTCATAATTAAGCACTTTTGTTCCATAAAAGTTCTAGCATAGAAGTAATTTGGTTAGCAGATTGTTGGAAAAAAATGTTGATAATGTTGATGAAAAAAAAAAACATGCCTTTTCTTTGTAAAAACAAAATGGCGTTCAAAAACAAAATAGCAGGTTGCTATAGCAGGGTCGGTCGCCAAATTTTCGCCAAAAATCGCAAAGTTACCATAATCCAAAGATTAACCAGAAAATGTTCTATAAAGGCCCTTAGGCAGATAAATCTCAGATGTTTTGTCCTACTTAACTAATACAATCCATGATTCGATCCCATTAGCATGCACCTAAAGAAAAGATCCTAAAAATAACAATGGACTATAGAAGGGGGCTTGAATATTGTTCTTTGGTTTTAATTTTGAATTTTATTGCCCTGCCCCAAGATACAAAGAAATTAAAATCATCATCAATAAAGCACATGTCATATGCAGATAGATATTTCACTTCCACTAAATGAATGTTTCAAACTCATTTAGTAAAAGTGATTCTTCTCAACGTAAGCAAGTCACTATTATAATCCTGCAGGGGTAGGGGAAGAACTTCCCTAAAATGTAAAATTTATGTTTAAATATTTTATATTTATTGAAATGGAAATTATTACCAATGAGGAACACAAAAACAAACTGAATTAAATATTTTACTTACTAATTTTTGCAAAAATTGCATTGATAACACACTGTACAAAAACAAGTGTAGCAGTAAATGTAAACTTGTCACCATCTCCATATGTACTCCTTGTTCTACAAAAAATAAATTTCTAATTCATCTATTATGTAAATGCTACCATGAAAAATACAAGATGAAATATTGTCATTAACATTATTATTCTTTCCAGATTTATATATATTCTTATAATATACTCATATATAAGTGATACATCATTTAAAAAATTTGTTAATACACTTTGGATTATATTTGAGCTACAGTTTTATCAGTATTGTTTCAACATGTAATATTTTTAAAAGACAGTACAAAATTTATATGAATAATAATACAAATGTAGATAAAATTTCAGAAAAAAATATCAAAGACATATAAATACCATAATAAGAAATAAAATGTGCTGTTATGAAGTAAAATTAAAACCCATATTTCAGAAACATATTCCAATAAAGATAAAAAGATTACTTGACAATTCCGTCCCCCTCCCCCACTTGCTGCAGATATACTCTCTTTTATAACTAAAATGGAAAATCATATTTCTCTTTATATAATGATATAAATATATAAAGTGAACATAGATAATTAAAAGCACTTTTTCTCCAGTATTGTATTTATTCATCCATTTCTAAACATCAACATTATATAACAATAACACTTAAGGTTCTTAGGATCATATTAAAGACTAATTTTATTTAGGTCTGGACGATACACACAGTTGGCCAGATCGAAAATTCAGGATATATCAAAACTACTTTTTCTCGCATATTGTACATTTAACATTTATTTTTATTACAGTACTTCCTCCAATCTAAATATATACACATTAAAATAATGAAAATGAATTTTTTTTCTTATTCTTTACATTAATTTGATTATAAAGCACATTCAAACCTTCCAGCTGAAGTTCAAAAAACAGCTTTATGTAAAATAACAGTTATTTACTAATACCTACTATTTTTTATATCTGAACTTAATTAATTTAGAAATCATCAATGCAGCAGATATAATTTTTAGAACAACACAGCTTGGAATATAAATGTTAACAATTGTAATGACCAATTTGACAGTTTTTTATTCTTGAGTAGCAGGCAAATAACATAAATCTTAACTTTTCAAAAGGTGAAAAACCTGCAATAGCTCTGACAGTATTTTAAACACAATTATGCTTTTAGCACATAGTATGCATATTAAAATAAATCAAGTTTTTTAATTTATGTTTAACCAGATTACAATATTAAGATATATGAAGAGACATAAATACAAATCTACTGAAAATAACAATTAAATATTTATCTTAGTAGACGTGGAAGAAAAATTTACAGAAAATTATAACCAATGATATATTATTATTTAGAGAAATTCAGAAATATGTATCTTTTATTTTAATTCATGCCCATTTTGAACCAAAGAGTAACATATTGTGAAATAAAAACAATCAATAATGATGGTCTGATTTTAGAAATTTATGTAACCATATGCATTTCAACAAAATATTCCAAATATTCGAATGAAATGCATGGACTTCTACATTTTGTAAACCAAGCTAAGCGCGAATATCGTCACACAAGTCGTTCACTCATTGGTCAGACTTTTACAACACCACACTGTAAGCGATCGTTGACCTTAAATCATTAAATTCTTACATTTTTTCTTGCAGTATTCCAAAATAGAAGTAGCAGACGAATATTCCAGCAGCGCAGAAGATCAGCTTTCTATTTGATGCCATTCTGTCGGCATTTACAACGTGCTCACCATTATCTAAAATAGGTGCAAATTTCGACCCTTGCGAGGGGTCGTCGCGCACGATGACGATGCATTCGTTTTTCATAATATCGTCTGCTGCTTCTTCCGCTGCCAACACCAGCGACAAAATCTACTTTCGGTGTAACCTTTCCTTCCACTCTACCTTCCTCAGCGATTACGTTTCGCTGCAAATACATTCTCTTGGTCTATACATTCGATTGTTTGTAAAGGTGCAAAGGGAAAGAAAACATTGTTCAGCTTGCTGCAGTTAATATTTGCTGAAAAATAACTTACCGATTTGAAACATAAATAATTTCAGAGATCATGAGAAATATTAAACGGTTTGCGAGACTTCATTGAGGAAAATTTTATGCTTCTAATTATAATATTTTTTTTCTTATAAATCATAGAGTCTAAGTTTTAACTTAAAAACATGAATAGTCCAATCTTTCACATTTCACGTCTACTGCTTCATATTATCTATAACTATATAATTATAACTATATAATTATATAAATCACTCGCTATCTCAGACAGATAGTTCTGAGAACTGTTTCTCTTTTGTCTGATCTTTAACTTGTCTTTCAAACCAAAGTAGCACTTTATTTAACTAAGCAAGGAACTCAATAATTTAAAAATACAAATATTTCTTAATATTTTCCTCTATTTTTTTATCCTTTTAAATTCTAATACTATATTGCATACTTCTGTTAAAATTGATAACGGTATAAAATGTGATGAGAAATTTATATAAACAACACAAATAAAGATTTATAAATGCCCGTGCCTAGTTTTCATAATGCAAAGAATTTTATTTATTTTCTTAAATAATTTATGTATTGTGATCAGTTCACACTTTTAATTTTATAATTTGGAAACTGATGGATTAAAAGAAGTGGAAACTAAGAAATAATTAACCCTGCTTTCTTGGAACTGCAATGGCGAGAGGCTTGACATTCCAAGCGACCCCGAAACTGTTAACTAGGTTATTTTACAATGGTAAAAAATATCTTCTTTTAAGATGAGTACCGCCGAAAAGTTAGGCTAATTGGGTCTGTCATTTCGAAAACCTGCCGCTGATATAATGTATGTAACTGATAACTTAAACAAATTTTTATTCCATTGGACAGTTAATCAATTTTAATTTTTCTAATGCTATAAGCTTTTGTATCCTGGCTGCTAAATAATTGTTAACTTACTTAAATAATGCATGGCTTTTTTAATCATACACGTATGCTAGGTTATTGCACCTTATTTCTTAATTTCAGATAACTCAGAATTATTTTTCCATAAACTTGTGCAACATAATTACAAACAATAAAGTGTAAAATGAAAAGCTCTTAAATGGAAACAGAGATAAGACTAACAATTTAAATTTGCAGTAGAAAACATTGCGATCATATTAGGCTTCTTTGCTTAATCCTGCTTCCATAGTGGGACGGTGCTTCTGGACACCTGGGTACCTGGGCTAAAAATCTTACCTCGTGTAAAACATTAATTATCTTATCGAACATTAATAGTAAATAATCGACAAAAGGTATAGAGAAGTTTTTTTTAATTATTATTATTATGTTTAAATTTAAATTTAAACAAATTTAAATTTAAATTTTAACAAACACGTATAAAGTAAAAAGCCAAATTTAAAGCCTAAAAAAAAGAAAGAAAGCCAAAAAAAAATTTTTTTAAAATTTTTAAAAATGTGCAAAATATAAAAGATTTAATTCTCGAACTAATCTACAATATCATTTAAATTCAGAAGCATAAGCAAATCAAGTGCAAAACCAATCCATGAAAATAAATTCACTAATTTAGCAAATTAAAATTAAATTAAACAATTTTTTTAAAAATGCATAAGTGAATGACTGTTGAGTAGGCAGGAGACAGACTTATCAAGGGGAAGTTGCCTAGAAACCTAACTCTCCAATCATTCAATTCGTGTTTCGTCATTCATGCAGGCAAGGGTAAAAGTCAAAACCAAAAGTAATACCAATAAAGTGGTACCCTTAGAAATTAACATTTAAGAATTAAATTTTAGAATAAAGTTCTAAAAGGAAAATATTAATGAAGTCTTTTGAGAAACAAGCAAGTAAAGTCAAGTAATAAATTAAACTATTTAAAAAAAATAACTGTAATTTTATTTATAATAATTTCAATTTTTTTTAAAAAATTTTTTGGCTTTCTTTCTTTTTTTAGGCTTTAAATTTGCTTTTTTACTTTTATACATGTTTGTTAAAATTTAAATTTAAATTTGTTTTAAATTTAAATTTCATTCCTTGCACAATGGCGCAAAGAATATTTGATTAATTTGTATTTAAATTTAATTTTTTAATTAAATTCAATTTTCTTATGAAACAATATTATTATGTTTTATATATATATATATTATATTTGTATTATTAAATATTTTCATAACTTTTTTTTGTAAGGTTAAGTGTATGGCATCTCGAAACCATGATAACAAACATAAGAGATTAAAGGAAATATTACACAATTGTTATACAAGCATAGTTACAAAAACAATAAAAAATGTCGGCAGAAGTACAGAGGCATGGGTTACAGTATAAAATAAATTATAACATAAGCACAAAAATAATCAGTGGCAAAAGCACAAACAAAACAGATATTAGTGACCAGGTACATGATCCAGGGGTTGAGGATTGGCCAAGGACGGTTAATGTTAGCAACATCATTGGGGTTGTAGTTGGCAATTTTAATAGCAGATTGTTAATGGTTTTCTGTTTGGCATGAAATATCTTGGAAATTTTATAGTAATGGGATCTAAGTTGGCAGATCCTTAGCTCTTCGTGAATGCGTTGATTTCTAATGTACCATTGTGCATTTGTAATTTGTCTCAGTGTGCTATTTTGAGCAGTTTGCAACCTTTTTCTACCGTTACTATTAGAGTACGCCCATACAGGGCAAGCATAACAAAGCAATGGTCGCAATATGCATTTATAAATGAGCAACTTGTTATCTATAGACAAACCGCATTTTCGAGCAATTAAGGGGAAGATTCTAGCTTTAAGAGCTCGAAACTTCTGTATAATAGCTGTGATGTGTGAGGTCTATGACAGAGTTTTAGTGACGGTCATCCCAAGGTAAGGGTTAATCCTGCTGTGCGGTACACATGGGATTTGGCGACATTATGATGAGCAAAACGCAGTATTTATGATCAGCAGTAAAAGGGTCAATTTGGTGTTGGTGGCAGTTTTCAAAATCGGCACAGGGCCGTACTGTATACTAGGATTTGACGGGCATCTTTAAAAACTGTCTTGAATAGTACAGAAGAAAGAAGAGAGTACACAATATATATATAATATATATATATATATATATAATTTTAAATCTTAAACTTAAAATCTTTTAATTAAAAAAAAAAAGTTTAAATTTTTTGCACGTGTTCTACTGAAGGTTGGTACACTAAGAAATGCAAAATAATAAGCCTGTTTTTGAGCTGACAAAAGCACAATCAAGAACACACTATCCTATTCGACAGCCCAACCTCAACAGACCGGAAATGAAAATAGATTTCAAAACCGAAAGTGAAGCAAATAAAAATATTCAGAAATTTTTAAATTAAATTAAAAAAATAGACAATTTTTAATTTGCAGCAAAATATAATTGAAAAATATTAAATAAAATAATTTAGAACCCTGTAGAACCCAGTAATAACAAAGAAATTTCATAAAAATGCACTTAATTTTAGACAGAGCACAAATTTTCGCGAATGATCAAGGTAAGAATTTTTTTGGAAGCACTTCCGCAGAGAACCCGGTAAATGTAAACATTGCCAACTTTGGCGATAATAGTTCAAACCTGGTAACCTATTGGATTCATCCTATTCGCTTGTTTGAAGGTTGCAACCATTCCTCTTGAGTTCATTTTGTTGAATTATCACTGTCGTTGTTCGCATTTGGAGATTTATATTCTTCTTCTTTCTTTATTATTATTATTTTTTCTGATTTCCACGTATTTTTTCTGAATTTTTTAACAACGAATAGATAGAAATATTTTCGTATAATTAAAGAAGTTTTCGTCGATTGATGCCGGTTCTCGGCTCCAATTTTTATGGCGTAAAATTTTATTAAGATACTATATTGTTAATGCTTTTCTAACAATAACCTTTCCGAGGATGGCAGGTGTGACATAAATAACTGATTAAATGGAAATAAAAAATATTATTGATTATCTAAGACGACAGAGTAGTTTGATGCATCCCCATGGTCATCAAAATTAGCAAACCACTGCTGGTGTAAGGAATACAGTTCAAATAACTCTTGAAAAATAATAAAATGTATAAAGTTCTAGTTTTATTAACAATGCTACTAAAGAAAATTTGATTACTATTGAAGGTTATTTGTATTGTGAAATATATTATAAAAAAGACAGGTTTATTTTCGTATATCACGTTTAACCGGTTAGTTTTACATCTGCATGCTTATTATCTGTGAATTTTTACTACCATATGCTTAATATATTGTTTTGTCTGCTAACTTGAATTTACATGCACTAAAAATCACGTTTACGGCTCATCGTCGATGAACCGCGAGCTTGGCGAGTAAAAATGCGACGGCGCCAACGGGTTCTTTCCCGAAGCGCCAACGGGTTCTCTGCGGATGAAAACCCATCCTTTTGGAAATATATTAAAATTTAATATTATATCCGAAAAAGAAGCGGGGAATGTGCAGAATCGCCTACTGCATGGAGCGTTTTTAAGAATTGCACATACTCGGTATCCATGTACACATCGACCTATTTTAACTTAAAAAACATCCCAGAATTACACAAAAATGGGATTGGGCCTTCCCTTGACGTTATCCATGTACACATCGACCTATTTTCACTTAAAAAGTCAAAGAAAATTGACAAAAATCCAATTCTTCTTACTCTTGTAAAAAGCGCCAAACAAATAAATGGGCGATTCTGCACTTTAGCCAAAAAAGCAAGAACAAACTGCTAATAAATAAGCCTTTTTAAATCTTGCATTAAATTTAGAGTCTATTAATCAACTGAAAATTTATTATTACAATTTACGTAGAAAAATAGTAAACACACAGAATACAAAATTTTCAGTTGCAACAATCGAGACTAAAAGATCTACAATACCAAAAACGAACATCAACACTTCTATTTCCATATAGGGAAAAAATGTGTTAG